TTTTTTTTTTTTTTAAAGTAAGTATTTGATATGTTTAAGAGGGCGGAAATTACGAAATGGAGGCAGAGTGAGATCAAAAGCTATTGAGTTGGCAAAGACGTGTTGAATAAAGTGATAAATGACAGGTACTGGAATAATACATTCAAATAACTTGCAGATCTGCCCGGGCGGATTTCAAAGCGGTCGTGTAACCGGCACAAACACGTTAAGCATTAACAACTATCTCTCGCCCCCACCCCCCTCCCCCTCGGACAAGCCATTTGATGTTCTAGTTCTCAATTACTCCACGCAAAGTGGACGTCTTCCAGCGCGATCTTCTGGGATGTGTGGGACCGGGACGGGGGAGGGAAGGGCAGAGGGGTGTGTGCTCGCCCACTGGCCCCGCGGGTCCCGCGGCCTCCGTGCCCAGACGGCGCTCCCGGGAAGGGTGGGGAGGGACAGAGCTTCGCCGGCACGTTTCTGGGCGGCCGCGGGGGCGCTAGCCGCGCTCCCGGGAGGACGCCCGAGGTGAGCTGCTGTCACCGGGCGCCGGGGCGGCCGCCTCCCTTCGGCTCTGTCATTTCATGTGTGACCGCAGTTCTGCGGGCTCCCCTCGTCAGCTGACCGACCTCAGCGCCGCGATACCCACCGGGGGAACTATTTTGGGGAGGCAGTGCCCTCGGTGCGGTGGGGAGGGAGGGCGCGCGGCCGCCTGGCAAGGCTTTGTGTTTCCCAAGCGAGAGCAGGGTGATCAAACTGAGACTTTTGAGGGCAGCTAGCTCTGTGCCAGGCCCTCGAGCTTTCGAGGTAGGTGTAGGATCTTTTTGTTAAATGAATGGTTCCGCGTTTAACTCATCCCGGAGCGTAGAGCTGCCTGCCAGTCCTTCCAGAATCCCTTGGTCTGATGGAGTTGATTTTACTTTTGGCATCGCCAGTTCACTCCCTCTCCCAGGCTCGAATTACCCATCAGTGGTCTATGCCGGTTAATTACTGGAGTTCGTCAAAACCTTCGCCCTCGGATCTGCCTCTTCGGAAATAAGCCCCGCCCCCCTCCCCGAATGCCGCCTTCTCTGCAGGAAGTATTCTTTATATTAGACATGCAATAAGTCCTGTCAGATGCAAAGCAGGCTGCTGAGCTCTCGTCTCCTCAAAAATCTCACTAGACGACACCCTAGACAAGGGGTGGGAAGGGGAGATTCTCATCTTCACATGATTTTTTAGGTGGATTTTATTTTACAAACCTTCTATATGTTTTTTGCCTTGATCCATCCCTTGCGAGATCGGACAGAACCTTACTTCCGATTATGGTGTCATCCCACATTTGGAGAAACCCACCACAGTTTGACCAGGAGCTGAAAGTGAAGGTCGTCAGAGAAATATTGCTATTTTCAATCATTTTGGTGCAGAAAGGGGAGGACTCCAGTTTATAATGTGAGACATTACGCCAGCTTGGGCAGGAAATGTTTTCCCTGCAGGACCTGATGCAATCCGCATTCAAGCCAACAAGTTTGGAGAGAATGTTGAGAGTTCAATCAATTCAGAACGTCGAGAGATGGAGCCCAACTCCTCCCGGGTATTTCGCTCTCCTCCGCTCCTCGATCGGCTTCGGCACCCCAACTGTCACCCACCTCTGCACCCACCCACACCCCCTGGGCTTTTCGCAAACTTTTATCCTCTGCATCCCCCCAAATCATTGTTTAAAAAAATCCTGCACTGATCATACATTACATAATAATTTTACCGCCTCAGATGGGAGAAGTAGGGAGAGGTGGCAGTGGGAATTCTTGAGTTTTTTTTTTATTTATTTTTTATTTTTTTTTTATTTTTTTTAAGGAGGCCGCGAAAATTTGTGGGCTCTATTATTTCCACCCAGCTTTTATATCCTGTTGGCTCTTCTGTATTAAAAGTGTGGATGTCTGTGGTGTAGAAATGTGTCTGGGAATAGTGTTTGTGTGTGCTCTGATGGCTACGTTATTTATTTGGTGCTTTTCCCCTGCAGTGGGTCTGACTCACCGTGTGGCTTGCACGGACCCTTACATTTTCTAGGAGCTTTTCAATTCCACCTTGAGGAAAACCAAAATTTGTCCTTGGCGACTTTTCTTTGTAGATGTACGCCAAAGGATCCGGTGCATAGCGGGCTCCAGCTGTTGTGGGAAGAGAGGGACCAGCCGGCAACTTTTTTATCCAACTCTAAAACATTTCCTCCCAGAAGACCTCCCCAGGGCAGAAATAGCAGGCAGTGAGGTAAGCACTTATATCTCCCTCTCTTCTTTCTTTGTCCCCCTCCCTAGTAATGCTGATACAGGGCAAGCCTTGAAAAATACTGTATTCACTTCTGCAGGCGAAGGCAAACTCCTTTTTTAAGGGGTAGCATACTAGCTGGACTCAGTATTTTGCCATTGTCAGAGTTTGGCTGTCCAGCTTTACAAAGAGGATCAACTGCCTGATTTTGTCAAGATCAAATAACTTGATCGAGAAAGGTTTTGTTCAGATGTGTGTGTGTGTGTGTGTGTGTGTGTGTGTGTGTGTGTGATCGTTCTCTCTCTTGCTACTGCCGCTTGATCATGCTTTTTTATATTTTTTTACCTTTTGAAAATTTTACCTTCGTCTGGCTCGGTCGGGTCTGGGTGGATTTCTTTCGGTGGGTTTCGATATTGTTCACTTTTTTTTTTTTTTTTTAAAGTAAGAGTATTTGAAATATGTTAGAGGGCGGAAATTACGAAATGGGCAGAGTGAATCAAAAGCTATTGAGTTGGCAAAGACGTGTTGAATAAGTGATATAAATGACGGAACACTGGAGATAATACACTAAAATAACTTGCAGATCTGCCGGGCGTTCAAAGCGGTCGTGTAACCGGCACAAACACGTTAAGCGCATTATGTATCTCTCGCCCCCCCCTCCCCTCGGACAAGCCATTTGATATTCTAGTTCTCAATTACTCCACAAAGTGGACGTCTTCAACGCGATCTTCACCAGGATGTGTGGGACCGGACGGGAGGAAGGCAGAAAGTGGCCTTTTAACTTGCAGGTACAGCCTCTCCGTACCGAGCAGCGCCAGAAAGTAGGAAGGGCAGAAACTTCACCAGCATTTCTGGAAGCGGCGCGAAGGCATAACCGCACGCTTTCCAGAAGAACGCAGGTAACTACTGTCACCGAGCACCGAGCGGCCGCACTCCCCTTCGCTCTGTCATTTCGCCAGCCGCAATTCTGCAGGCTCCCAGCGCAGCCACCCACCGAAACTTATTTTAGTACCTCGGTACGGTAAGAGAGCACGCAGCCACCGGCAAAACTGTATTTCGCGAAACGGTAATCAAAGAACTTTGGCTTGCTTTCTAGCGCGAAGCCTCAACTTTCAGGCCGTGTAGAGATGCTGACCCATGGTTCGTTTCCGCATTTTACTCCTTCCAGAGCATGCGTACAGTCCTTCAAAATCCGATGATGGGTGATTTTACTTTGGCATCTATGGATTCCTCCCCAGGCTCTGAATTACCCATCAGTGGTCTATGCTGCCCGGTAGTACACAGGTTCGTCAAAACCTTCGCCCTCGGATCTGCCTCTTCGAAATGACCCCGCCCCCCCTCCCCAGTGCCGCCCCCCCCCCCCCCCCCGCCTTCCACCGCCAGCTTTGGGTTTTAAACGTTCTTACTTCCCGACGTCTGCCTGCAATTTTACAAAGGTGTTGTTTGGAAATACTGTGAAAAATCCTGTAACCTACCAACAGGTTGAGCTCTTCCCCCTCCCGAGGTCTAGCTCGGCCCCCTCCCCCGACCCAACTTTCCTGCGCAG